TAATTAACTTTTATATATATATATATATATTGTGTTTCTAAAACATTAAATGTATTAATTTTCCATTTTTAATAAATATTTGGAATTTTTTCAGTGCAGTATAACATTACTCTCTCAAATATCATCACTATTTCACACGAAATTAATAAGGAAACTAATAATCAAAAATCTAGAAAAAAGGTACTGAATTAATCTTTTCGTAAACCAATATATTATTAATAAATCATTTATTCAAATAAAAGAAAATAAATTATTTTACAATTCTTAAGAAAATATTTGTTGCCGTGAAAAAAATGAAAATAGTTATAAACATATATAAAAGAAAAAGAAAAAGCTTATCTAAATTAGAATAAATATTCTATAATGTAAACTAATAAATAACGTAGAACACAATTGTTTTGTCAAAATGGAAATTAATTTAGAATAAAAGAAGTATTGAGCTTAATTCTATTAAAATAGTTAAAACATTTTATTAAATATTAACATGGCAAATTAATATTTTAATTCTCACTAAACTAAAATAGATGTTGACATTTAATATTGAACTATATCTCCAACATAATAATTTTCAAACGATAATATATATGAGAAACCAAAACATTTTATTAAATTATTCTACACCAGTCGAATAATGATTTCATCCAATTTCACAACTTTAACATTAATGATTGGGTCCCAAATTCGTGCAAAGTTAGAGGTGGCATCACATATAAAGTTGTAGTTATCCTAAATTTATAACTATGTCCGGAATCAATATTGTGTGGTCTCACTCTATATAGGTTGAGATTTTCTATGGGACATATTTTTTTTTGCATAAGTTCGCAATCATTAAAAATAATTAATTTATTTTATAAAAATTAATATAAACCAATGCTTGAAAATCTTGAATGGATGTAAGCGGGGTACCCGTAATACTGTAATTATATTTCACTTGGGCTTATAAAAAATAAAAATAAAATAAAAAATAAAAAAAGAAGAAGAAGAAGAAGAAAAATGAATGGATATAAGTGGTTCAATTTACCCTCTCATAATAAATTATAATTCCGGTTCATCTATGAATGTGTATACATGATCATTAGTTAACCAATACGTGATGTGGCCAATGGGTTAAATTTTGTATACATAATTAATCACCACATTTTTCTTTTGTTGGTTCTTTACATTTGGTATTATTTGATGTATCAGTGGATTAAAATATATTCCGAACTTAGTAATTTATGAATAGAAGATAACCAAAAAAGAATAAGAGACATATTAAAAATATAAATAATTTTTATATATTTGAAAATGTTAATTATTATATTTTTAAATTTATGTACTTTTTTCTTAAATAAGAGATCTTTTTAAATTAAGAAAGTGACAAGATCCATTGTCAATTATTACCTTCTCAATAAAATAAGTGTGATTTTAAATTTTTAATGTAATACTTATTAGTACTGGTTAATCAAATTTCATTGAGTGGCTATAACTTCATACGGAAAGAGTAGATGCATCTTCATAAAAATTGGTAGTTATTTTTTTATCCGCAATAAATTGGTAGTTGAAGTGGTAGCTAATGAATTTATGGCCATTGTCGTGAGTGCTAGTTCAGTTAGTATATATATACTCATCCTTGTCTCATGATCTCATATCAGATCAATCTATATATAGCTACAGTTTGATTTGTTGTTGATATGGGTACCCGTGGAAAGCTTGAGGTAGATATTGATCTCAAGTCTAAACCAGACAAGTTCTGGGAAACCATAAGGAACTCTACTGACATATTCCCTAAGGCCTTCCCAACTGATTACAAAAGCATTGACATTCTTGAGGGTGATGGCAAGGCTGCTGGCTCTATCCGCCATATAACTTATGCTGAAGGTAATTAATAACTATTTATTCTTCTTTCTTTTTACTAAATACAAATTAAATATACTTAAAAATTGTTAATTCAAGTGATTTAGTACTTATACCCTTTAATAAAAGAATTGGAAGATTATGATTAAAGTTATCATTTTAGAGTTTAGGGTCTAGGATATATCTATTTAGTAAACCAAAAATATATTACTTTTCTCTAATTAAGTTTATAATGTTCTAATTCTAGGTCAAGATTGACCCGTTGAACATTTAGATCTGTGATGGGGTGGTTTGTGATTCAGGTTCACCAATTGTGAAATCATCGAAAGAGAAGATTTTGGCTGCAGATGACACAAAGAAGACAGTGTCATACGCTGTGATCGAAGGGGACCTCCTAAAGTATTACGACAAATTCATAGGACACATCACAGTGACACCAAGTGGGGAGGGATCCGAGGTGAAATGGACTGCTGAGTACCACAAGGCTAGCCCTGATGTGCCTGATCCAACTGTCGTCAAAGATTTTGCAGTCAAGAACTTCCTTGAGGTCGATGCCTATGTTCTAGCAAACGCATAGACCCACCATTTGCTACCATATATTTATCATTAAATAATATGGTTCTACCATTTTCTCCTATTTAATATAATGTGCCTTGTCTCCATTAGTGTTCGCCTAATTAAGAATCATGTTTCTCTGTGGTAGTTTCTACCCATTTATTTGAGCATGAATATGATAAATTGAAGCGTTACTACTCGCTCCATTTAACTACTTGCATTTATTAAAACATTATTATAAGTTTAGTTAATAAGTTATTAATTACAATATTATTTTTAGAAAATATTATTATAAATAGAGTAATATTATCTATTGTTATTTTTAATTATTTTTTAAAACTAATGTCTCACATCAAATAAAAGAATTATATAATGTAGAATAATTCTCTAAATTCTAATTATTTATTATAATTAAAATCTCACATCAAATAAAAAAATAACACATAACAATATATATTTATAAAGTTAAACTTAAGATAAAACTTTAATATTTGATTTAAATTTCATAATAACAAATTTGGGAAGCTTTCAACCTTAACAACATTATTAAAATTTAACAAAAAAAGTCTTGCAGGAACCACTAAGTATAAGTATTTAACTAATAAATATATTAAAACTAATTATCTTTTAAAGTTTAAAAAACTTAACATTATATAAAAATGTTATAAAATACTACATTTATTTTTTAAAAACATGTTATATTAATACATTAAAATATTATTAAAAACTTTTAACAATATACACTATTACAATATTTAATAATATATCACAAAAATTAACATTTATATATAATTCGATAATATTTTTTAAATGTTATAAAAGATATTTTTGTTATATATAGTGTGTGATTCCCTTTCTATGCATATTAATGTCTAACTTTTGAGAATATTAGTTAAACATTAACATATTAATATAACAATCAAAATTTGTATATTAAATCAATACTTTAAATTACACATAAAACTTAAAAATTAATTTATAATCATAAAGCAGTATAAGATAATAATTTATATTTTACATATATATGACTGATTAATGTTTAATAATTAAAAATATTAAGAATCACTATATGAAATATTATATATAGTGACTTACAAAAAATGTCACTATATAGATATAATATATGTAAGTATATATCTATTTGACATATAGCTACATACAATTTTAGTGTTAATTTTGAACAAGATTTAACAATATATATATTTTGTATGTCACTATATCATATCCATATTTTTTAACAATATACCAACATATATTATATTTATTGTGTAGTAAAAGTAATTTTTAGTGACACATATGATATCATTATAGGATATGTGTCACTATACGACAACTTTCTTGTAATCAATTACAAATATCGACAAAGATTTGCAAGTATAAATTGAAATATTCAATCCAATTCAAACTACATTTCATTGAATAAAGAATAATTCAAATCAAATCAAAGTATAAACTACAACTTATTTTAACTTTTGCATCGAATGACTTTTCGACTCCAAATCAATTCCAAATTGGTCCACAAATATATAACCTTGGCCAGTTGAAACAACTTATTAAAATAAGGTAAAATTTAGTGAAATAAGTTGTCAATCAAACAAACTTATTGAAATTAAATTAACTAATAAATTAGTGGATATAAACAACTATTCCACCCCACTAAAAAAAGTGAATATAAACTACTGTGGTCTGTCGAATACAGCCTCAACCTGCCTGTTACGCCACATATTGTAATAAAGGAGCATTATGAGACGATGAACCCAAGTTCTCAATATTGCTCTCCTCTTTGTATTTTCCCCAGACCAGAGCATAAAATCCTACCGAGATTATAGCCGAGCCAATCACACTGCAAACAAAGTCAATACAAAGTATTTATATTCAAAATTTTGACATATACAAGTAATTGTAAATGTGTCATTTCCTCTTGTTAGAGCATGTTAGAAATCTGCATGAATGAACTAGTTATCAAGTGGTTCTTCTCTAGTTTTACATAAAATTGTTACCTTCCAAGGTTGAAATCATCACCAAGAAAGATTGCTCCCATGCAAACGGTGAAGATGATTCCCAAAGGCTTGAACATTGCACAGAACAGAGGTCCGGTTCTGTGGACGCACCATGTGCATAGGGTGTAACGTATCAATGTTGCACCAATTGCCTAATATTCACAATCAAGATATCAAACTAGTATCTGACTTAAGAACCACTTATTTACATAATTGAATTTCAAATTGATAGATGAGAGTGAGACAATAAGGTATATTACCTGATATAAAATGGCAATCAACCCCATGTCCAACTTCAGCTTCCATTCCGTTGGATCACTAACTTTTATTAAGGCAATTACTACAGAAAGAATGGTGGAAAATAAGAGTTGGAAGAACACTATCACTGTTACGCTAGAGTATTTCTTCGCAACCGAAGCCTGGAACATGTAGCACAGGAAAAGAAAAAGAAAAACAAGTGGTTAATAGTATTACGATATTATTGAAAAATCTGATAGTAATTAACCACTTAAAAAATTAATAATCATATTTAATTATATACATATTAACCAAATGGGCGATTTTCATATTTATGATAATCATTACTCTTAAATTAATTACACTCTTAGTCCTTGTATCTAAACTTGTATATAATTTTGGTTCCTTCAATTTTAATTACTCATAATTAACCCTCAGTTTTCTAATTATTTAAATTAAGTCGGTTACAGAGAAATATAAGAAGTAAGACATTTTTTTTTATTTGTATATATATATACACATAATAAGAGACATATCAAATGAAACTCTTCTAAAAAATGTATTAAATTATATTTGAAAAGTCAAGATTAACAGAAAAACGCACATAATTTTCCAGTTTTTGTTTATATCACATGAAGTAATTAATCTAACCTGATAGATGTACCACATGGAAGACACCAAAGAACTGCCAACACAGAAGATCCCTCCCACGACCCAGTTTAGTTGAGGTGAAAATTGAAGTTTGTTAGAAGAGTCTGATACTATTGCAAAGATGGTTGGGCCCTTGTAAAGAATCATAACAAATGCCCCAGCAATTGATACTATTGTTCCCAACACTTTAGCTTGGCTGCTATAATGTGTCCAATGTACTTCTTCCATCCTAATTACATTAAATTGAGATAACACTATATTACAATACTGCAGTTAAAGCTTGGCATAAATTAATTAATCGGGATTCAATTCCTTCGGAATTGCAATTACATCTGAAATGTTGTAGTTCTTGATGTCTGCTCAACAATAGTCAACAGTTTCTTTAATTGCAAAGCAATCACAATAGCAATCTAAATTCATTCAATAAAAGCATAAACAAAGTAAATAAATAGAACTTTGAGAGGTGGTATCCATGCGTGAAGATTTAGAAACATATCTCACAATCCTTCTAAACAGAAAGAAATTAATGACACCAACTTTTGATTTTATGAAGAAAAAAAAAATATTCCTTTTGATTTAGTTAAATTAAGGACCACACTCCCGAATTTGATTTATAGATTGTTCAGAAGTCTCAATCAGCATAGAAAAAAAAAAGAAAAAAAAAAGCGAAACCTGAAAATGAGTGCAAGTACAAAAGTGAAAGCTGGAACGAGGCTAAGCATGGCTGAAGCAAGAGTAGGAGAACTGAGTTCTATGCCAGCATAAGTCATCATATCTCCTGAACTCCTGCACGGTAAAAGAGTCTTTGATTTCACTATCAAGTGTGATTTTTCAAAATTCTGGTGTCAGAGACCACATGCATAAATGAATATACAAGCATAAAAATAAGATCTGATATAAAAAAAGTGTATTATTATAATTGACAAGCAAAGCACCTTAATTAAAAAAATATTGAGGGAAAAACAGAAAATATTGTAAATAACTAGGGTTTATATGGAATACTAACCCAAAGAGTGAAAGCAAAAAGAAGGCGCAAAGTGCTGAGAGTGTGAGAGAAGGACGCTTTGACCTGCTAATGAAAAGGGTTTATACAAAAAAATGTTTGGTTGCATAAATTATATATATATATATAAAAGGAAGAAAGGAAAAGATTATTAAAAAAAAAAAAAAAAAAAAAA